TTGATACATATTTGAAGTATTTTGCAGCCCATACTGCAAAAATACTTCAAACTACTTTTTATGAAAAACACAACACACACAACACACACATATATATATATATATATATATATTATATATATATAATATGTGTGTGTGTGTATGTGCGTGTGTGTATCGAAAACAGCATATGTATCGTCGGGAAGATCCATTTAAAAGAAGTTCATAATTAAAACATTTATTATAGAATGATTTATGTAATTTTCATTCAAACATCATATATCGTTCTTTTATCATATTTTCACTTTTACATAAATTCATTGATTTAAACAGTACTTTAGATGTCGACACAAATGCCATCCTTTTGGTAAAGATATTTCAATTACTTTCTTCCTTGAGAATAAATAATTCATTTCTAACAAATAGCAATTACTAATTTCTACAAATATCCACCACTATTGATTATTATAATGCTGACTGAAATATTATATATTTACAATCAAGGCTGTATAAGTAACAATTGTTAAGGATGTTGTTCGGTTTTAATTTATTTTTTTCGATTTTGAGATTTTTTGATATTATGAAAGCAAAAAACCTTAGAATTATTTTTAAAAAAAATCATCTCAATATCTATTTTTTTGACGAAGTTATATATATATATATATATATATATATATATATATATATAAATTTAAATATATATATATATATATATATATATATATATATATATAAATATATAATATATATTAAATATATGTATGATCCTCTGAAACCGTTTTTTTCATCGCTCCGCGAGCTATTGTATGCCAGCTGCTCTCTTTTTCATTATAATACCTCATGCATGACTTTTTAATGTGTCAGCATCTTGAACACCATGGTGTATTTAGTACATTAAAATTAAATGGTGTGACTTGCATTTTTTTTTTATTTGTTCACCACTGCAATACCTAGTCCCCCTACCTCAAACAAGTTGATAAGATTACGCAAAAAAAAATTTGCGAAGCTTCTCGCCCCCCAAAAAAAGACCTTTTTTGTCACTTTTTTTTAAATAGCTGCCATTTTTTCCTTCTTGATTTTTTTTCTTTCATTTTGGTAGGGAGACTGGATTCAAACTTCTTCTTCAACGTAGTTTCTTCTTTTTTTGTTTCAGGCGATGCGCAACGGATTTATCTGTGGCACCGCAAAATGGATCGATTTTGCAAGGCCGACTTTGTCGCTCCCTAGTCAAAAAATGAAAGCAAAAAAAGAAAATTTCTTAATATTCTATGATTTTGTAATATTTGTTTAAAAAAAACCGCATGTCTCTATGATAAATTCATTTCGAGAAAAACAAAAAGAAATATCTTTTTGTAAAAAAAAAAACGAACAACCCCCTTAACCCAAGAAATAAGGAGTTTTGAGACAGACAAGATACCCTCGTTAGAAAATGGTGTAGGAATAATAACCTATAAATATGTGCAATGCGTATATTTAGATGTAAGTTAGATATTTGTTTTAAGATTATTATTATAAAAACTTATTAGAAACCTGCGATACAGCAGTGGTTGATTGTCCAATAAAGCCTAGCCAGAACATGTTTGGAGAGACGGAAAAGCATTTTATCACAGCGCCTAAACATGTTCCACATGCTCCTAATGTAGCTGCTACGCGGAGACCCTGCAAAACAAAAACATCAATAATTTAATAACATGCAATATATGTTAATTATTAATAATTTCCATTTTGAAGTTTTATAATGAAAAAAGCAAAATTGTCTTCGTTTTTGCCAAAAATCCCAAATCGATTTTGAAGATTCGAAAACTATTCTATAAATATCCTAATATTAATAATATCTTATAATATTTTCAGTATGTGTCAACAGTGAAGGAGTATCACAATTAGACGTTGACATTGAAGGTGCACCACTTTGTAGAATACTTTTCGATAATTTCGTGATCGCATAATTATAAAAGTAAATGATTTAACCTTAACCGATACCAACCATTTTATCAAGCAGCCAACTAGCAGGAAAGATTAGAGGTATATATACAATCATATAAATCATCGAGGTCCAATCGACTAGAGTACTTGATATCCCATAATACTTTTGTACAATATTTGCTATAATCGAGTATTGAATCCATTGCAATGCATTTGCAGCCGAATATAAAACGAATATACCCAGAATCAGCCACCTTCGTTTGTACACCTAGAAAATAAATCGTACCCTCAAACAAAATGATCTTTTCTAATAATAACATTTTTTATTTATTATTTACCTTATAAACATGAACTTTGGGTTCTAATTCTGTCGTAGAACTGGGTGTTAAATATGTGTTTTTAGGATTGTTCGGGTTTTCTAAATCCAGGTTTAGATTGTGTGGCACGTTGTCCGTTACAGCCAAATAAACTGGATTATCCACACTTTTTTCATCGTGTTCATCAAGGGTTTCTCTTAAAGCTTCCATGACTAGAAATAAGCACAAAAGTGAAATTCAATCAACGAGATATTTTCAAATTCCCGAAGGAGAAGTTTATGTTTTCGCAAGAAAATCCAAATTAGCAATTGTATGTTTTCTCGAAGTATCAAGTGATTCTGAATCGTTTGAAACTAAAATTGGAAACGGTTGTGTATTGTTTGTTCGTATCTTTTCACAAAAATGGCTGAACTGAATTCGAACATTTATGGACGAAACTCGATAAAGACTCACTTTGATTAGTTTTGCAGGACTTTCGAAAAAACTTCTTTACAATTCACAGAAAAAAATCTTTTTTTTTTGCTTACGTTTTAGCGAAAAAAAAACTGGACCTATTTCAAAAATTCTAAATCTATTCCAAAGATATAAGTCGAAAAACAAATCGACAATTTTGATGAAACTCTTTCGGATAGACTAAAATATCATGGTTCTACGACAAGTCGCCTAAATTTAAAAATTCATGAAAGTTTTGATAATTTAGCAGCGCTTTTGTGAGTCAAATTTGTACATCTATCAATAATGCTTACTAACAGCGGAACCGATTTCAAATGCCGATTTTTACCAAAACTGATCAGGACAACTACCAACTGATATCTTTCGAATTTTGGTGTCAAGCAAAACAGAATAACTTGAAACGTCGAGTAAATAAAATTAACAAGTCGGGTTTTCTGGCGAAAACATAATCTTGTTCTTCGGAAAAAAGAAGTAAGCCGAACCACAGGTCTGTGCCTGATCTACTTGATTATTTTCCTCTACAAAAAGCTGAACCCATACGTTCATATATTTCCTAAAAATAAATGTATCTTATTTCTGCTCATGTTTTAAATTGGTATTAATTTTATTATGTCTGCAAATGAGCGACTATTGACTTGAATATCGTTTTGCCAAATTTTATCTTTGTTTATAAATAACGATAGCAAACACGCACGTCACGAATTGTCATCGTCAGTGAAATTCGATACATCGATAAACAATGGCGAGTGTATAAATTAAAACAAAAGCTGATTGAAGGATAAATAAAACTAACAGAATGGACAATAACGAATAATGAAATGTTTTAATTTGAAATTGAAATTTAATGAAATTTTTTAATAAAATATGCATGTTGGTACGTTTATGAAAATGAAACTAATAAGCTATTGTTATGCAAATAACTTACGAGCTGTCTCGATAAATACTTATTGATATTAATTATGGTAACTTTAATACCATAATAATCACAGTAAAAACTTGGGTTATTTATTTTGATCTCATAGAACTATCCCGTTGGCCAATGAAGTTTTACAAGCAACCAATAAGCTATATGCGAAAAAAACTGCATTACTGTATTGCAATATTTTTTATTAACTTCCCGTAGGGTAAGTTATTGTAATCGTCCAAAAATCGAAATCGAAAATTTTACATTTCTCGACGTTTTGAAGGTTTCTGAACATTTTGGCATACCTCAGAAAAAATGGATGGTGTGTGTGTGTGTTTTGTATGCCCGCGTTTTTTTGTCCACGTTTTCGGGAGCACGGATCAACCGATTTGAATGGTTTAAAAAACATTCGATTCCTATGATGCTGATTAGTTTTTGGCAAAGGCAGGTCAGCCGTTACGGAGATATGGAGCAAAGAGTGCAGAAAATAGAAAGCGAGTTTTTGAGAGAACGTATCAACCGATTTGAATGGTTTAAAAACATTCGATTCTTATTGATAGGGAGATGTGCTGATTAGTTTTTGGCAAAGATAGGCCCAGCGGTTTCGGAGATACAGAGCTAAATGTTAAAAAATGGCAGTTTTGAGAGAATTAAGCGTCCGATTTAAATGGTTCAAAGAATTTCTGCTTATTTCAACAAAATAATTGATTTTGGAAAAAAAAATTTTTTGTTTCTAATTTTTTTTTCAAAAAAATTTTTTTGTAATTTTGGATTAAAAATTTAAAAAATCACCCAGGCTAAGCACAGTCTAAGCGCCACTCTGGTACAAATGTTTACGCAAGTGCGTTTAGACTGTTTATGTAATGGAGCAATTTTCCAATTTTGTGAGAAACTATTGAAAAATGTGAAAATGCCGCCAAGCTAAGCACAGTATAAGTGAAAATGTCGCACAGAATTATTTGCAAATGCGTTTAGACTGTGACTATGCGGGAGCACTTTTTCAGTTTTGTGTAAATTTGGCAACCATTTTTTTTTTGAAATTGAATTTGAAATGAAATGACGATTGTTAATGTTCTGGAGATGATAAATTGATTTATTTATAATTAACTTTCCATAGGGTAAGTTATAGTAATCGCAAAAAAATCGAAAATGAAAATTTTTATATATCTTTACATTTCAAAGATTTCTGAATATGTTGGCATACCTTAGAGAAAATTGATGTATGTGTGAGTGTGTATGTGTGTGTATGTATGTGTGTGTGTGCGTGAATGTATGTGTGTTCGGATACAAATTTTCATCGACGATTTCGGGAACACGGATGAAGCAATTTGAATAATTCAAAAAACATTCGATTCGTATTGATAAGGAGACGTGCTGTTTAGTTTTTGTCAAAGGCAGGTCTATCCGTTCCGAAGATATGGGGCAAAAAGTGCCAAAAACGGTAACTCAGTTTTTAAGAGAACGGAGCGTCCGATTTGAATAATTCAAAAAACATTTTACTTGTGTGAACAAGATGAACACTTATCAAATTTTCATGAAGGCAGGTCTAGCGGTTTCGGAGATCTAGTAAAAAAAACTAAAAAAAATACCATTTGGCGGTCAACAATAATCATTAGACATATGCATATCAAATTATCAGATATTTTATAGAGATTTTATTTTAACAATAAGTATAAGATGTGTTAACATTCCTATGGGTTTCGTACCAGTGTTTATCCGTTAGACGACGACGCGGCGCTTACGCGCTTCGATATTTAGTCTCTATGCATTTAAAGCAGTACGATTGCTTTGAAAAAAGTTCAGAATTTCCAAAATATTTCAAAATAAATTTTTCAACAAAAAGTAAGTTTTTGACAAAAAATTATAGTTTCTCAAAAATATATTTTTTCAGAGTAATTTTTTTTCAAAAATGTTAATCTTTTAAAAAAAAATAATTTTTGGTACGGAAGTTCCAGCAATTTGCCTTAAGGCACGATGCCATGCGCCCCACTAGTTTAACTTTATTTTACAACCAATTTATTCTTGAATATTCAGGGAGTGGTGAATTATTAGTTTTAATACTGTGATAATTTTACTCCATCAAACAATGTTACGATATAATGGATCGCGATACAATGTAAAAGTAATGCAAGGGAGATATTTATTGAATGAAACAAAAAGTAAACTTGTTCATGTCCATATTTGAAAAAGAGTTTCTTCAATTAGATGTCAACAAAGCTAAAATATTGCTAAATCAAATTCTTTATGGCCGAGATGAACATGACGAGAAAGAAAAGTGTAGAAAATACTGGTATCTGCGTGCACAAAATGATAAAAGCTTAGAAGCAAAAGTTCGAGAAGTAAGAAGTAATGTATTAGCAAGGGGGAAAAGAAAGATAAGTAAAATTTTGCAGAATCATAAGTATCATACCATAGGCCTGCCTGGTCAAAAAACGGAATTAACTGCCTTAGAACCGATGTAAACTTCAACTCGATTCAGGGAAGTATAATAAAAATTTCCTTCGTTGTACATCGCAATACCCAATTTCATTCAAATATCGCAATACCCAAAAATTTAAAAGCCATTTCACCTTAACAAAGACTCACGTCGGCATAAATTTTTCGCCCAAAATCCTGAACAGAGTTTACAGAAATCAGACCTTATTGTAATAAATTTAATCCGTCACCAGTATGCGTATTTAATAGTCGTTCTGCATACAAAAGTCTCTCCAGCTCTACAATTAATTAATGCGTGCTGCCTACCATGTTATGTTATCTTATCAACCAGACAATGAAAATTCCGATTTCGTCATAATTGCTCTCCCAGGATTAGTATCGCGTATTAAAAAAATATGATTTCATATAAATATTAACGAATTTACATACATTTATATGTAGCTCACTTCCAAAACAATTTAAATGTAATTTAAAACATCAAAATCAGTACAGCCATTCAGTTCAAAACGTGATAAGTTCTAGAACACTGCACACACAGTTTTTTTCAGAGACATTTAGTTTTCAAAGTTAAGTTTTTGTACATTATTTAATTATTTATCAAAATTATTATTATTAATTATTTTTCAAAAAAGCGATAATTATGATTTAATTTGTGTAAGTTTAAAAACAAGACAACTCTTCTAAAATTACAAAATTCGGCACAGTGATTTTATTCAGTTACGATATGTAACCTGTATTCAGTTAGTTAAATACTTATGCATACATATTGTGTGTTTGAGCTTTACCTATAAGATATATGGACGAAGGAATTTAGAGATTTAGCCATTGAAAGTTGACACATTGACTTTTAGTGAAAAGTGCTGCAAAAAATGGAGAAAAGCTCATACTGACGAACACACTGAACCTCGATACAGAAACTCGATAAAAAAAAATAGAACTATACTAGCGAATGAACTCCATTTTGGAAAGTCTAATGACTAACAAAGTGAATCTTAAACACAAAGGGAAAGATAAATTTCCATCTAGCAAGCAAACTGAAATTCCATTCAAAGAAAAATAGAACTCTACTAAAGGATAAACTTAGAAATGCAATACTTTACTTACGATTAAACTGAATTAGCAAAGGGCTTTAGGGGGAAGTCTCGTAACGCCGGACGGCACCTACCGTTGGACACTCTATTTAACACGTATTATTTAAGCGAGTATAAATCTTTTTATTTCAAAATACAAGTGAAAGGAGCGCGGGAGGCTCACAGGTGCAGGATCACGCGTCAAGGCTCACCTGTAACGCACACGGCCACGGCGGGAGGAACCCTTTGCTGTTTTAGACGCAAAATCACGGCGTCACCTAAATTCCAATGGAAGTAATTCTAGTATATTCATGCATTTACATTTGAGTGGCATTGGAAGATAAAAGTA